ATTAATGGATTGATGAAACCACTGATAAGGGCACTAAACCACCAGTAGATGAATTCACGGTTGAGTTCATAGCTAAACTGGGCTGGGAGGAGGTGGGGACTTGTTGGCGGATGTGGATCATGGAAGCTATGCCTTTGAATGTGTACCTTGTCCATTGCCCCTTGGTCTTTCTCCCCTTCTCTACTTCCCGGACACTGGGAGTTACGAAGCTGTGATGATTAACATTCATTGTCAACTTAACAGACTCTAGAATCACCAAAGAGACAACCCCCTGGGCAAGTCTATGAGGGATTATCTAGATTAGGTTAGCTGGGGTGAGAAGACCTTCAGGTAGACAGCACCTTTCAATGGACTGAGGTCCTAGACAGCACAAAAATGAAAGCAGGCTTAAGTCGCAGCAGCCATCACTTTCTGCTTCCTGACTATGCATGCAGTGTGTCCAGGTGTGTCAAGCTCCTGCTGCCATGACTTCCCCCATGATCTAATGCATTCCATGCATTCATTTGCTGAAATAAATCCTTCCTCCTTTATGTTGCTTCTTGTCACAGCAACAAGAATATTCAGCGGCATGATGTGCCACATCCCAGAACCAGGACTAATGGGGTCACATAACTTATAGATTGAGACCTCTGAAACCATGAGCCAACATGAAGTCTTTCCTTCTTTTAAGTTGTTTTTCTCAGAAATTCTGTTGCCTTGACAAAAAACTAAATAAATGATTTTAGAAGTCTTCTCATTCATATTTTAATATCTTCTAATTAAAATATGAATTCTTAGAGGCCAGAGGAATGGCTCAGTGCATTTGTTACACAAGCATGAAGATCCAAGTTGAGATCTCAGCACCCACACAAAAAGCTGGGTTGGCTACACATGCATCTGTAACCTCAGAGCTGTTGGTAGGAAGCACAGAGACAGGAGGATCACTGGGATTTGTTGGTCACTAGCTGCAGAGGGGCTCTATCTCAAGAGAGTAAGGAGGAGAGCAACAGAGAAGCGCATGTGACATCCTCCATATGTGACATTCTCTCTCTCTCTCTCTCTCTCTCTCTCACACACACACACACACACACACACACACACACACACACACACACACTAAATAAATAGATCATTATACAACATATTTTCCATCCTGTATCTGATTCAATGCTCTGAAGACTCTTTAGATATAATTTGTTTGTCTATTGATTTCGCAGTATCTCATCTTTATGCATGCCTTCTCTCTTATTTCTATGATGTTTTAAAAGCTGTCACCTCATGTTCCATGGACTGCTAGCTGTGTGAATTTTTGTAGCATGATTTAAATGACTTGCTTTCCGGAGGTGAGTTATACTTTATATTGAGAAAATAGGCCTTAGAGTCCCCAGCTCCAGGGGAGGCGAAGCAAGCCCATGGCACCAGGCCAATGGGAAGGAAGTTTAAATGTCATCAGGTTTCCCAGATAATGCACTGATCTGAAGTTTTGGTCTCTATTAGTTTTCTTGGCTTTCTAACAAACTGCTATGGGAGATCGCTAAACTGACAAAAAATGAATGTATAGTTCTGGGTGCCAGAAGCCCAAGTGGAGGTGTTATGCTCAAGGGGTACTTTCGTTTCAGAGCCCCTAGAGAAGGGTCCTGTCTTACCTCTCTCAGCCTTAAGTATTCCTTAGGCTTGTGGTATCACAACTCCAACTTCTGCCTCTAGCTTTACCTGATTGTATTCTTTCATGTTCATATTTATCCAGATATCCTTCTTATAAAGACACCAGACACATTAAATTAGTATACACCCTGACCCAGTGTAGCTCTCTTATACCCTGATTATACCCAGGAAGACTATTTCCACATAAGCTCACATTTCCAGGTAAAAAATGAGGATTTCTGGACATTTGGGGCGGGGGTGGGGAGAGACTCAATTGAGTTGATAACAGTTTCTAACTACTTTTTATGTCCTTGCCAGCTCTGGGATGCATTATTATGCCCTAGAACTCTCTGAGCCATGAAATATACAAATTTTTGTCTTCTGTTTATGTCAGCTCTTATTTCTTAGTTCTATTCCAATGAGTCTCACTGTTCCCTCACTGCCGTGTAGATTCTGAAGCCAGGGGTGGGAGCTTACCAGACTAGAGTGTAAAATGAGATTATCAAGGTTTTAAAAGGAGACTCAACAGGCAAGGCTGAGTCTAGCAGAGGAAAAAAAAAAAGCACAAACATTGTGATGTTTCTTGAGGGAAGAGTCTCAAAGGACTTGGGTCCTGGGCTTCATCACTGTGATGTATCTATTGAGCCAAAATATCTCAGACTTGAGTCTTTTCTCTGTGTTTCGCAAATTGCATGACCTTGGAACCTATGCAACTTCATAATTTCTGTTTCTTCAACTGATAAAGGTGAAATACCATAAGAGGTCAATTTTAGAGTGTTCTATGGTTAGATGACATTTTAAAAATGCCCTGGGGTTGGGAAGTGGGCTCATCTGATGAAGTGCTTACTGTGCAAGTGTGAAGACCAGAGTTCAGACACCCAGACCATTGTGAATGCTGCTGTGGTGGGCTGTCTGTAACGCTACCCTCACAAGGTTGAGACTAGATCCCCAGAGCAAGCTGCCTGGCAAGGCTAGCCATATGTGAGTGCTGGGTTTGATTGAGAGTCCCTGACTCCTTGAATACAGTGGAAGAGAGATTGAGAGTGATTCCAAACATCAACCTAGGGGGGGCTGCCACATGTAGAAACACAGATGTGTATGCACACCAACAAAAATAAACGCATGCACATCTCACACACATATGCACAGGGAACATGGTGGGAAATGACTAGCAAGATCTCAGATATACATCAGGTAGTCAACATGTGCAAAAATTCTATTTCCATGTTCCAAAGGAGATTAAGGGCTTTGTACGAGTTGCTGTTGCGTAAAGGAGATGTGATAAGCGATGGCTTTCAGTTAGGCACACCATCCTGAGGGGGAATTGGAAATACTGTTTTCTCAGGGAGGAAACTGAGGCACTGAGATATTAGCTTGAAAAACACAAAAGAAAAATAGGTAGCAGTAACCACATATAGGAAGACAGAAAATGATCAGAGATTCAGCACCCCCTCAAGGAAGAACCAGAATACAAACGAACTGTCCCACCCCGTGTACTTAGTTCCGCCAGCTTACAGAGGCTGTGCCCTGTTTTAAAAGCCGACTTTTTCTTTGCCATCAATGATGCTTCATCTCTGTCCAGTGGGAGGTGAGAGATGGAAAACAAAGCCTGGCAATATTTTATACTGTATTTCAAACCCTGAACACGAAACTACCCGAAGATATTTTAACACATATCTGAGAACCTCACCCAGGCCCACACTCCAAAATAGCTTCATAATTTAAGGAAGGAGAGCCAGACATCACCACCACCATGTGATTGACTCACATATGTTGGAAGCAGAGTTCACAAATCTAATTCTTTTCTCCATTTCTGGACATTTTTACCCAGAGAACACAAGTGACCGGAGGCGGTGCTGCCCGCTCGGCCGATTCCTGACAGCTGCTTCTGGTGAAACAGATTGTGTTTGGGGGCAAGCATTTATCCAGGAGCAGTGCTGAAATGAGATGGCGAGGAAGCCGGCGGGTGGTGAATAAATGACCAGCGGAGGGAGAGCTGGGGAAATGAGGGTGATTATGCAGGCGCTGTCCTCTATGAATACATTAGCTTCCCATCAGCCTGTGCATTCCCACTGCCTCCAAAGCAATTGCTTGGAGTGCCAGTGAATACAGGTGTCTGAGGTATTTTCCAAACTCAGCCTCAGACAGGCTGTTCCTTCAGCCAGTCCGCAAAGCCTACTGTTAAGGCTGGGGATGAGCTGAGTCCTGGAGTGCTGTTAGGTCCTTCGGGTGTTATGGGATGCTCACTGTCTAAGAGGGTTATCCCTTGCACAGTTAAGAGGGTTGTCCAGGGCCAGCTGCTTATTCTGTGGAGTGGGAAACAGAGGAGGGTAATGATGAGAGGAGGGTAGGTCCTTGAGTGGGGACTGAAGGCCTGGACTGGACCTAGAGACACCAGATGCATATACCATCGCAAAGGTGCAGTCGGGTGGACCAGATTTTGGAGGAGGTCTGCATAAGGTATGAACGGCTGGTTGTGAGACAGAAAATCTGTCAAGAGTAAAACACCAGGTGGTGCAAGGTCCCTCTGAAAGGCTGACAAACCTGTGGGGTGTGGGCAATGGGTTGTTAGAGACACTTGGAACCATTATGGGGACTCACAAAAGCTGAAGCCATGGGTTTGAAGGGGTGCTTTCTGGACACAGATAATCCTTCATTTAGTCACCACCTTATTTCTACCAAATACCAGGCACCCAACTCACCTTCCTGACTGAGAAGAGGGATCATTCTAAGATTCTCTATCACTGGCCAAGAGATAAGAGCCAGGAAGCCCAGTAAGTGTTCTTCCACAGTAAGAAAGAAAATGTTACCTCTTACAGAGTCATACGATTAGTTGATAAACCACAGAGGGCCAGGATGGCCCGTGGGTCTGGCTAGCAGTAGGTGGGGTCAGAAAGCAGCATGAAGTGAATTTAGCTGTGTTCTGCTCTTTATACTCCAGGGGGTTATTTATTTCTTGTTAGACCTCTTTAACCATCTTTGGAAATGTTCTATGGACTACAGTGGAGTAGACAGTCATGGGGGATTGACTCTGGCGGTCTTTCTTGTCCAGCTGTGCCTTGGTGTCTTCTGTTGCTTACCCCAACAGATTTGTTCAGTCTAAACAGAAGCACTAAACTGGGAGTCTGATTCTCTAGGCACGCAAACTCTGAAGGCCTCTATTTCCTAAAAATTCAAGAGCTACTGCTCTGAGACTCCTTGGCTCCGGCTACGTACATGCACCAGAGCTTGGAACTAGATATTGAATCAGTGTGTGAGTCTCAACTTTTAGTTCCCTTCATAGTGTGAACTAAAGGCTTGTCAACACTACACCCCTAGACTGATTCACTTACCATCATGGGAGCTGAGCTCAGCCCTGTGTGAGAAACCTTACTCACCCTGATTCCAAGCTCCACATTCTCCCCTCCATAGACCTCCATGCCTTCATCCAGCAGGCCAATCTCCTCGAAGTACAGTCGGTCCACAATGAAACAGCCAATGAGGGCGGGGCTCCTGCAGGGTGGGAGAGATGGCCAGCTGTGAGCAGAGGCTGGTCTGAGAGTCATCTGAGAAGTAAGAGCTTTCAATCCCAAGGTTCCCACCTCTGCTGCCAGACCCAGTAGGGCTTTGTTTTCTGGGTAGCCTCCCAGGTTCATCTTCATTTAGCCACCCCAAGGAAGCTGTTTGAGACAGTGGGAAGACAGCTCTGTTCTGGGACCGGCCCTTGCTGCCCACTATGCTTGCTGGTGCATTTGTAAGGGGAGGGGGTGCCATTCACTCTGTTGGTTAGATTGCTTCTTTGGACTTTGAGCCACATGGCCAGACTGCTTCAGTTTGGACTTTCCCATTATCCCTATTAGGGGCTCTACATGTCAACCTCTGTTCACTTAGAAGCATAAGTGACAACCAGGTTGTTGAGGGCTTTGAATGTCATAGGAAAAGAATGTACAGATTTCATATATAGGTAAAGGCTTGTCTGTGACAAATTTCAAGCAGAACAGTGTTATGATTTTTTTTTTAATAAAGAATACTCAGGCAAGCTGGGATCTAGCTCAGTTAGTGGAGTGTTGTCTAGCATACATGAGACTCTGCCTGGGTTTTATTCCTACCATTGTATAAGCTAGGTATGGTAGCATATTCCTGTGATGCCAGAACTCAGAGGCAGAATAATCATAAGTTCAGAATCATTATTAGCTACATAGAGAATTCCAACTCAGCCTGGATGACATGAGGGGACACTATAGGGTAGCTGACTAGAGGAGGTGGGAGGCATGAGAAACCCATCTCTCTCCAGGAAAGGTGGTAAGGACGCAGAGGAATTTGGAAAGAGATGTAGTGAACGGGGTAAAGATCGTGACTGATTGGATGTTACAAGTGCCTATAATTCTGGTTCAGAGGCTCAGAGAGGCTGGTGAACGTCTCAAGACAATGCCAGAGCATTGTCATACATATGTTCACTTCTAATATCTAGGTTTGGTGTTCTCCATTAAAGAAGGGTGTCAGTCTACTCTAAGGACACACATATGTGATACTCCTACAATCTGTGGAAATTAAGTCATTTAGAATCAGTCCGGGGTTATGACCTCAGGATGTCTGTGTGCCTGAGCATCCTCCTGCATCAGCATTCCCTAAGAAAACAGCCCTTTCTGCACCTGGGTGTGTTTCTAGTTCCAACTAGATGGGTCCACTGTAATTGACAGTTTTCTCACCCCTAAGGGTTTCTCAATTTCTCCCTTCCTCTCCTTCACCAAATCTTCCAGCCTGGCCTGATAGTGTGTAAGGCTAAGGACAACAGATGACAAACAATGCAGATATAGCCCCCACTATTCCTGCTTACTTCCCTGATGGTAGCAATTCTCGGTGAAGCCCTTCACTGCGAAGACAGTGAGCCCTGCTCATATCCCCTAATGTTCACGCCCCTTAATACTGTCCAATCTGCGACCTTGGTTGACCTCAATCCCAGATATCTGTCACTGGAATCATTTTCCAGAACCAAACTCTATGTCCTTTTGCAGGCAGCTTCACTATCTGGTAATGTAGCTAAGTGGTAGAGTACTTGACTAGCAAGCTGAAAGCCCTGGGTTCCATCCCAGCACCATAAGGAAAAGGAATTTTCTGAAAGCATTTTCCCAAGCATGCCTCACAACCTACATTGTTAAATTGTTGAATTGAGCTGGCCCTCCATCTCCAAGGCCTCTGACCCAGAATCATTGATACCTACAACATCAGTTGTATGGTACCATCTTGGGCACTGAGGTAAAGAGCTCAAAGGCTCTGGATGACCAACTCTTGAAGATCACTTGTGCAGTGAAGGAACTCAGAGATTCACCTCTGAAATAATGGTTCGGAAGCATTGGCAAGCAGGGCTGGGTCTTCACCTTTTCTTCCAAACTTCTGAATATTGGCTGTGTTGGGGCTTTCGGAACCACAGTCATAGAACATGTGAGAAGGGGTCTTCCTCTCATTTCCAGACCCAGCCAGGAAGGACACAAAATCCAGAGCAGTTGCTCAAATGATTACAGACACCTCAGGGTGTCTGTGACTTAATGACTAGACGCTGTATTAGGCAGAATTAGGAGAAACAGCTCCCCTCAGTCCCCAAAAGGATTAGACACAGCTTATGAAAAGCCTAAAATCTGCTGAAAAATATAAATAACATCTAGGAAGATCTAAAGCTTACAATAGATTGAAGGCAGTTAAAAAGCAAATATAGGCTGAGGGTCCCTATCTTAAGTCTTAAAAACGATTCATTTTTATGTGTGTGTGTGTGTGTGTGTGTGTGTGTGTGTGTGTGTGTGTGTGTGTGTGTGAGAGAGAGAGAGAGAGAGAGAGAGAGAGAGAGAGAGAGAGAGAGAGAG